TTAGTGCCAAACTCTTTTAAACCAAGGGTTCTAAAATAGGGTTGGCTTTTTGCATTCAGTGGCTAATGTGATCACTAGCATAAACTGTGGAGTCTCCTTGGCGGATGTTCTCGATCTCTAGGGTGCCGTACAGATTGGGCCTGTGAAGCGCTGTTTGGTTATTTGCTATTTTCAACCTTGTGCAGAGTCTTTATTGGATTTTCAGAAAAGAAATAAATGGTATGAATATTCAGGCTTATTCTAATTTCACATAAAGCTCCAATATAATAAGTCGCTTGTTACACTACATGACCTCACACAAATGCCTTTTATATTAATGCAGGAACCAAATAAAATGTTTAAACCCTCTTGAAAGCACATCTAAGGCTCAGTTAAGATGTTGGCTCTAAAGGAGCCCCTGGCGTTAGGAAGCCCACATGGTTAACAGCCTTCTCTTTTGCCCGCTGAAGCTCATACGGGTCTTTCCTCACCAGCCAAACATTTAAACTCTTTTTGAAGAGAAGGTAAGATGTACCCACCTTGGACGCAATGGCTTCCTCAGAAGATAGAAAAGAAATTTTGTGCGTTTTATTGAGAGGTGGTAGCAGGTATTTTATTTTTTTCATGGAAAGCCCACTGATCTTCCACAGACATGGTAACAAAGTCTGGGGTTTTTGTGGGGAAGGTATCGGCCTGTAGAAGGGAGCTACGGTGGTTCAGTCTAGGGACGCAAATCTTTCTGACATTCTTCAGTCAAGACGCAGGATATTCCCTCCTTTTGTGTTTTGTTTTGTTTCTAATGTGTGTTTATTTTGAGACAGAGTGCGAGTGCATGCAAGCAGGGGAGGGGCACACAGAGAAGGGAAAGAGGGAATCCCAAGCAGGCTCTGTGCTGTCAGCATAGATCCTGACATGGGCCTTGATCCTCAAACTGTGAAACCATGACGGGAGCAAATATCAAGTGTCGGACACTTAACCAACTGAGCCACCCGGATGCTCCCACCCTTCTTTTGGAATTTGAATGGCTGATGACTGACTCCTTTGATCAGAAGGGTTTGGCAGAGGTAAGGTTATATGATTTCCTAGCTGAAGTTACAAATGCAATCCAGTGTCCAGCTTTCTTCTGGGACATTCAATTTTGGGGGATCCTTGAACCCCAAACAATTGTTTCTTCAACTGTTTCTTCAAGCCACAAGGAATGGCCACATATAGGCACCCTTTATAATAGTCATAGCTGGGCACACAGTATGTAGCCAGAATTAAAAACTGCCCAGCCAAATCCTTTCCAAATTCGTAGTGAGCAAAATAAAATAGTTGATTCAGATCAGTTTTAAAATAATAAGTTATGCAGCAATGAATAACCAGAACTGGAATTAACCAACAATCGTCTGAAAACTCAAAAGAGAAGTTTTAAAATGAAAAGTAGTTTGGAGTTGTTATACATGGGACTGGAAGAATTTTTGTTACTTCAAAAATAGAGACCATTAATATATTATTTGAGGACATCAAAAAAAGTAATGAGACTGTCTTATATTTCATTCTGGGAGGAAAGGTATGCCCCACAGAGCTGATTAAAAATAGCAGTTGTAAAAAGTAATTATGTTGCTTCCTTCTTGCATCATGCTGAGTCTAGCTTATTTAATAAATCCGGTTCCAAGCTACATAGAACACCACCAACTCCATCATCACCATTGCCATTACAAGAAATTAGTGTGTCCTGATTAAGTTGTTAAAGGCTTCTATTAAAACACATTTATTTTGGCAGACATAATCTCTCCTTAACCCGATTTTAGTGATTAGCTAATTACCATTGGGTTAGTTGTAGATGATTCTGTAAAAGACAGATCCTTTTGAACGAGATGTTGCAGCCCAGGAAGCCAGTGCCTCAGAAGACTGCAGAGAAAGAGAATTGAAAGAATCAGAAAGAGAGAGTAAACCCAAAAGACAGTGATTTTGTATTTTCCTAGTTCCATCTACGTACGGAAATTATCTTCTACGTGAATTATCTTCAGCTTCTTTTTATGTGCGACCCATCTTCTTCCCTGAACGATGAAAGCAGTGAGTTTAAGCTTCCTCTATGAGTTACCCACAGCAATGGAATCTTGTTAGCCATGATTCACCCCTAGCATTCTTATGGAGCACGAGGAGAGCATTGAATGAACTTTTCTCTAATTTAACCATAAAAAATAATTATTTTGTTCCAATGCCCTTCCTATGTGACTCACTGTTGTAGGGCATATTCTGAGATGATCTCCAGTGATGCATATCCCTGTATAATCTCTTCCACCTTGAGTGTGGGTGCACCCTGTAAATACGTTGCTATGTCACTCCAGTGATGAGGTTTGTGAAGGTAGACTCTGTTTCTGGCCTTGAAGCTTTGAAGATGTGGGCTGGAGCAGGAAGCAGGTGGCAAGAAATGCAAGGACCATCTATGATCTGACAGCAACCCCCAGCCAAAAGCCAGTGGGAAAATGGGACCTCAAGCCTCAAATCACAGAACACTAATTCTGCCTACAACCTCAATGAATTGGGAAGCAGATTCTTTCCCATAGCCTCCTTGAAGGAGCACAAGTCAGCTGACACCTAATTTTCACCTATAAGATCCTGAGCAATAGACCACCCACCTCAAGCCCAGATATGTGACCTCCAGAACTGTGAGCTCCTATGTAGGTATTTTGCTAAAGTGCTGAATTAGACATAATTTGTTCACAGAAATAGAAAATTAATATGGGACATAGATCATAATTTTACTAGATCTAATCCACCTCCAGAAACATAAGGTTAATTGTGTGTCAACTTTTTTAACATTAGAAATCACTTTGGGGGCGCCTGGGTGGCTCAGTCGGTTAAGCATCCGACTTCGGCTCAGGTCATGATCTAGCAGTTGATAGGTTTGAGCCCCGCGTCAGGCTCTGTGCTGACAGCTCGGAGCCTGGAGCCTGCTTTGGATTCTGTGTCTTCCTCTCTCTCTCTATTCCTACCCTGCTTGTGCTCTCTCAAAAATAAATAAAGGTTAAAAAAAATTTTTAAAAAGAAATCACTTTTGTATGTACGTTATTGAGTCCAAATAAAGGCCAAATCTACATAGAAAATATGTATCAGGTATCTTCGGGAATTTTTTAATTTTAAAATTTTATTTTTTTATATTTTGTAGACCGAGTGCACGTGTGCTGCATGTGCAAGCTGGGGAGAGGCAAAGGGAGAGGGAGGGAGAGAGTCTCAAGCAGTCTCCATGCTCAGGGTGGAGATTGACGCAGGGCTCAATGTCAGGACCTAGAGATCCTGACCTGAGCCAAAATCTAGGGGTGGTCACCAACTGAACCATCCATGTGACTCATGGGAATTATTAGTTTTGGGGTTTTTCTTAATTTTTTATAATTTTTTTTTCAACGTTTTTTTATTTATTTTTGGGACAGAGAGGGACAGAGCATGAACGGGGGAGGGGCAGAGAGAGAGGGAGACACAGAATCGGAAACAGGCTCCAGGCTCTGAGCCATCAGCCCAGAGCCCGATGCGGGGCTCGAACTCAGGGACCGCGAGATCGTGACCTGGCTGAAGTCGGACGCTTAACCGACTGCGCCACCCAGGCGCCCCTCTTAATTTTTTAAATATTCACATTTGAGAGACAGAGCATGAGTGGGGGAGGGGCAGTGAGAGAGGGAGACACAGAATCCGAAGCAGGCTCCAGGCTCTGAGCTGTCAGCACAGAGCCTACCATGGGGCTTGAACCCACGAACTGTGACCTGAGCCAGTCAGACACTCAACCGACTGAGCCACCCAGGTGCCCGGGGAATTATTAGTTTTAAATAAATGTATCCTGTAATTACTTTTCTTTTTTTTCATTATTCTTGTTTTCATCATGATAAGTGTCCTCTTAAATCCCCATCACCTATTTCAGCCATCCACCACCCACCGCCCCTCTGGTAATCATCAGTTCTCTAGAGTTAAGGGTCTGTTTCTTGGTTTGTCTTTCTCTCTCTCTCTTTTTTTTCCTTTGCTCATTTGTTTTATTTCTTAAATTCCACGTATGAGTGAAATCATATGGTATTTGCCTTTCTGTGATGGACTGACTTTCTTAGCATTATTCTAGCTCCATTCGTGTTGTTACAAATGGCAAGATTTCATTCCTTTTGTGGATGAATAATAGTCCATTGTATACATGCCACATCTTCTTTATCCATTCATCAGTCAGTGGACACTTGGGCTCTTTACATAATTTGGCTATTATACATAATACTGCAATTAATATAGGGGTGTATATATCCCTTTGAAGTAGTGTTTTTGTATTTTTGGAGTAAATACCCAGTAGTGGGATTACTAGATCATAATGTGGTTCTATTTTGAATTTTTTGAAGAACTTCCATACTGTTTTCCAGAGTGGCTGCACCAATTTGTATTCCCACCAACAGTGCACAAGTGTTCTTTTCTCCACATCCTCACCAACACTTGTTTCTTGTGTTTTTTATTTTAGCCATTCTGGTAGGTGTGAGGTGATACCTCATAGTTTTGGTTTGCATTTCCCTGATCATGAGTGATGTTGATGTTCTTATGTCTGTTGGCCATCTGCGTGTCTTCTATGGAGAAATGTCTGATCGTGTCTTCTGCCCATTTTTTAATTGGATTGTTTCTTGGGTGTTGAGTTCAATCATTTCCTTATATATTTTGGATATTAACCCTTTATCAGATAGGTCATTTGCAAATATCTTCTTTCCTTCCATAGGTTGCCTTTTAGTTTTGTTGCTTGTTTCCTTTGCTGTACAGAAGCTTTTTATTTTGATGCAGTCCCTGCAGTCCATTTTTGTTTTTATTTCCTTTGCCTCAGGAGACATATCTGGAAAAATGTTGCAGTGACAGATACCAGAAAATTACTGCTTGTGCTCTCTTCAAGGATGTCTCTGGTTTCACGTCTCCATTTTGAGTTTACTTTTATGTATGGTGAAAAGAAAGCGGTCCAGGTTCATTCTTTTGCATGTAGCTGTCCCATTTTCCCAACACCATTTGTTGAAGAGACTGTCAAAGATGTGCTCACTTCAGCAGCACATATGCTAAAATTGGAATGGTACAGAGAATATACGCATAGCCCCCGCTCAAGGATGAGATGAAGAGACTTAATGAGATGAGATGAAGAGTAATTAACCATGTCATTGTGAGGTTATTTCTGGAGTTTCTATTGTATTCCTTTGATCTATGCATCTAATTTTTATGCCAATACCATACTGTCTTAATTATTACTGCTTTGTAATATAACTTGAAATTTGGAATTGTGATAGCTTCACATTTTTCTTTTTCAAGGTTGCTTTAGTATTTGAGGGTTTTTTTGTTGTTGTAGTTCCACACAAATTTTAGGATAACAGTGGTGAGAGTGGACATTCTTGTCCTGTTCTTGACATTAGAGGACAAGGTCCCAGGTTGTCTCTGTTGAGTATCATGTTGGCTGTGGGTTTTTCATGTAAGGCCTTCTTTATTATGTTGAGGTATATTTCCACTAGAACTACTTTGCAAAGAGTTTTTATCATGCATGGATATTGTACTTTGTCAAATGCTTTTTCTGCATCTGTTGAAATGATCATATAATACTTATCCTTTCTCTTATTAATGTGATGTATCATGTTTATTGTTTTGTGAATATTGAACCACACTTGCATCCTATGGATAAACCACACTTGATTGTGGTATATGATGTTTTTAATGTATTGTTGGATTCAGTTTGCTAATATTTTGTTGAAAATGTTTGCATCTATATTCATGAGAAATCTTGGTCTTTAGTTCTCTTTTATTGTGTGATGTCTTTATATGGTTTTGGTATGAGGGTGATAATGGCCTCGTAGAATGAATTTGGAATTTTTTTGTCCTCTTCTATTTTTTGGAATCTTCTCTTTTTGAAATGTTTGGTGGAATTCACCTGTGAAATTGTTTGGTCCTGAACTTTTGTTTGGGGGAGATTTTTTTATTACTGATTCAATTTAATTGTTGGTAATTAGTCTGTTCAAAATTTCTGTTTTTTCCTGCATTAGAGTTGATAGGTTATATGTTTTTAGGAGTTTCCAGGAGTTTAATCCATTTCTTCTAAATTTTCTAATTTGTGGGCATATAGGTTTTCATAATACTATCATATGGCTGTTTGTATTTCACTGGCGTTTGTTGTTATTTCTCCTCTTTCATTAGTTATTAGTGATTTTTTTTTTTTATTGGCGTCCTTTTTCTTTTTTAAGTGAGTCTGGTTACTGGTTTGTCAATTTTGTTGAGCTTTCCAAAGAACCAGCTCCTGATTTCGTTGATCTGTTCTGTTTTTTTTTTTTTTTTTAATTTATTGTATCATTTATTTCTGCTCTAATCTTTATTATTTCCTTCCTTTGGCTCTGTTTGGGTTTTGTTTGTTGTTGTTGTTCCAGCTCCTTTAGGAGCTTTAGGAGCTAGGAGCTATAAAGTTAGGTTGTTTATTTGAGATTTTTCTTGATTCTTGAGGTAGGCCTGTATTGCTATAAACTTCCCTCATTTTGTTGCATCCCAAAGGTTTTGGACTGTCATATTTTTATTTTCACTTGTTTCCATGTAATTTTTCATTTCTTCTTTGATTTCTTGGTTGACCCATTCATTGCTTAGTAGCATGCTATTTAACCTCCATGTATTTGTGCTCTTTCCATGTTTTTTCTTGTAGTTGATTTCTAGTTTCATAGTGTAGAACTACTTTTCTACTCCAAGAAATACGCTGTACTTCACTGTTGTCCTCTTTCACAAGACTTGGCCTATTAGCAATGAGTCCACTTCAAAGAAATTAAATAATAACTCTGGACATATTCACCAAAATATGCTCACAACTTCTTCACTGGGGAGAACTTTTATCTCAACTAACTCTATAGGGGCACATGAGTCTCAGACCCTTGTCTCTTTGGTAATATTTTTCTCCCTAAATGTTATCTGCTCTTTTGGAAAGGTGTATATCGTGCATTCATGTCTCTCCATGTCTCTCTAAAGTTACACATGAATTTTCTGATCCTGTATTTATATAAATGCTATCTGTTTTCCACACTGACATTGGATGAGTTTCTGGAGTGTCCAGGTCCATGAAAAGGCTCATTTAGTAAATGACTAACTAAGGTTCCAAGAGAACACCCTCCCTTCTCTTGAAAATACCCTCTTCTCTTCCCTCTCCCCTTGATTTATAGCCTGATTTCTAGAAAACACAGTATGAAGCAAATGCTGACATACTAACCCTATATCAGAGAATGCAATCCCAGAGAATCACTTGTGATGGAGAAAGAGAAGTATGGCAGGGAAGGAGAGAGCAAATGCATGAGGATATGTACCAAACTAGATGCAGCTTCGGGATTCATTGTTCAGACTCATGAAATATCTGCAGAAAATTGTATAAGAAACTACTACATTGTACAGTAGTTGTACTCTTCAGGACTTGGGGAATGAAGGAAGATGCATTTACTTTTTAGGTTTCTTCTACCTCATCACCACCTGGTCAAAATCCAACCCCCAGGGCCTTAATACCTGTGCTGTTGTGGAATGTGACCATGCCTCAGTGTGACCACTGAGGAACAAAGAGTCTGTATGAATCTATTTTTGCCATCTTTACCATATAGGGTTTTTCTGCAGGTAGTTTCTTGTAATAAAAGTACACCCGTCTGGCAAATAACCAAAAGAATGAAACAAGCCATTTTTATAACTCTTCTGTTAGGAAATGAGAAGGGCCTGAGGTTTCAAGCAGAGCATGGGACATGATCTAAGATGTCACACAGGCAGATTCAGGAACATCGCAAAGGTTACCACCTTACATGGGGTTGTCTATAAAAGACCATCAGGACCTGTGCTTCATCTCATAGTTTGCCCAATGAACACAAGAAACACAAGACATCAAGGTGGCCACTTATCAGTGGACTCCTTCTTTCATACAGCTTTCTTACAATCTCTGATACAAATTACATCTCTATCCCTTCTCATTCTCTCAAACATTTTCATAGAGTCATCTGGAACTCATGGTCTAATATCATATGTTTCTATTCATTCATTCATTCATTCATTCATTCATTCAGAACAGGGTGGGAAGAGAGAGAGAGAGAGGGCACCCAAGGAGGCTCTGTGCTGTCAGCCCGGAGCCCAACACAGGGCTTGATCTCACAAACCATGAAATCATGACCTGATCTGAAATCAAGAGTATGATGCTTAACCCACTGAGCTACCCAGGAAACCCTGATATCACCTAATTTTTAATATTCTCTATCTCTTCATGGTGCCTTGGTGGCTCAGTCAGTTAAGCATCCGACTTCGGCTCAGGTCATGATCTCTCAGTCTGTGAGTTCAAGCCCCGCATTGGGCTCTGCGCTGACAACTCAGAGCCTGGAGCCTGCTTCAGATTCTGTGTCTCCCTCTCTCTGCCCCTCCCTGCTCACACTCCCTCTCTCTCTCTCTCAAAAATAAATAAACATTTAAAAAATTAAAAGAAAACCTCAATCTCTTCTCTGAAGGAACTTTCACATATGCCTTCTAGTTTATCCGGAAATTAAGTTGAAATTTATCACAGAGCTAAATGTAAAAGGCACTACTATATTCCTAGAAGAAAAATAGGAAAAAAAAAATCTGTTGGCTTTATATTAGACAATTATTAGATACTAAAAAAAATGAAAACTTGGATTTCATAAAATTACAAGTTTTGCTCTTTGGAATAAACTAAGAGAAAAAAATTATTCAAACACTAGGAGAAAATATTTGTACATCATATGTGTGATCAAGGACTTGTAACTAACATAGATACAGAAGTCTCAAAACTTAATAGTAAGAGAACAACCTAATAGAAATGGGCAAAGCATTTTATTGGTTTTTTTAACGTATATTCATTTTTTGAGAGAGCGAGAGAGAGACAGAGCTCAATCAAAGGAGGGGCAGAGAGAGAGGGAGACACAGATTCTGAAGCAGGCTCCAGGCTCTGAGCTGTCAGCACAGGGCCTGACACAGGGCTTGAAATGAAGGACCATGACATCATGACCTGAGCTGAAGTTGGACACTCAACTGACTGAGTCACCCAGGTGCCCAAGGAAATGCAGAAAGTGTTTGAACAGACACTTCACCAAAGTCATGCAAATGGCAAATAAGCACACAAGAAGATGTTCAGCATCATTAATCACTTGAGAAATGAAAACCTAGTTCAAAAATCTTTATGTAAATGTTTATAGCAACTTTGTTGAAAATTACTCATATCATAAACCAACCTGAATATTCTTCAGCTGGTGAATGAATAGACAAATCATGTGGTATATCCATACTATGGAACAATGAAAAGAACATTTATACGTGTACATCTCACATTATGGTTAGGCAAAGGAGCCAGGCCCAAAAGGTTACATATTCTGTGACTGAATTTATACAGCATTCAGGAGTTGGCCCCCCAAAATCCACTTTTATTGAGAAACAATTGGTGTACATTACTGTATAAGTTGAAGGCATACAATGTGATGGTTTGATTTTCATATATCATGAAATGATTGCCAGAAGAGGTTAACATATATCATCTTATAGAGATAGAATAAAAAGAAGAGAAAAAAATTTTCCTCATGATGAGAACTCTTAGTATCTACTCTCTTAATAATTTCCTGTACATTGTATGGCAGTATTAGCTATAGTCATCCTGTCGTACGTTATATCCTTACCGCTCATTTGTCTTCTACCTGGATGTTTCTACCTTTTGACCACCTTCCTCCAACTTCCCCTCCCCCTATCACCCAGCTCTGGTAACCACAAACTTTATCTCTTGCCCTATGATTTTCCTGGGTTTACTTATTTATTCTTATTACTTTTCAATATTTTACATATAAGTGAAATACTTTCTCTCTTTGACTTATTTTAGTTAGCACAATGGTAAAAAGCAAACTTTTCAGGTAAGAGAATAGACCAATTCATTCTCATTATTAAGGGTGGGAAGAAGTTGACTAAAAACAAATACAATAAGGGAATGTTTGGAGGGGTGAAGGAAGAGTTTTGTGTACTGAATGTGATGTTGGTTTACACCACTGTGCATTTTTCATAATTCATACAATCCTTCTTCATCTTAATATTGTGTATTTTTTTAGTTAGGTCAGAAATGCACTGTACACTTTTTTTTTTTTTTTGATTACTTGGAATTTCCAC